CCACTATTTGAAGATTCCCATATCTACTCATCACTGTAGAGACCATTATGAGGACTATGATTTCTTTAATATAAAAATGGAAGTAACTGCAACAATTTCCTCAATGGAGAAATGAAACCAAACTGTCAACTAGCTGAAATACCTTAAGTCTGCCAAATGTTAACCAAACTGTCAACCAGTTATTTTATCTTTTATAGTGAAATTGCCTTAAGGTCAATGGGTTGTGCAGTGACAATGTTTGTGGCAAAAATACTTAGAACTGCATGTAACAATTATAGCATTATGGTTACTTGTAGTTTCCCCAGTTCAACTCTGAGCGTCTCCCAACATTAGCCCTTTAATTCATCTTTGCATTCCCGTTGTTAAAATGCCTAGAACAGTGAGTACTAAACATACATATATTTCTAATGAGTAACCTATCACAACATCACCTGCTCAGGGAGCCTTTTTGGGCACACACACGTCAGTTGCCCTCTCCTATACATATACAGGTGATTTTAGAGCGGGTAGGCATGATATAACATCATAACTTACAAATAGTATTTATTAAAAGTTGTAATGTGACAGGCACTTTGATTCTCAAGACCCCATGATGCAGGCATTATTCCCATTGTAAGAGTAAAGAATCCCCAAAGCACATATTGACCATGAATATTGTAAAGCCAGCCAGTTCTGCCTGACACCGAAACTGGGAGCCTTTACACTCATTCTGGAACTTCTTATATCTATATTAGTTTGTTATACTATTTATCATAAAGTGTTGTTTACGTGTCGATGTCCATAGCAGGCTCATCACATCTGCTTTCGTATGCAACTATTTTGTACCCAACAGCCAGCCGACTGACACTTAGCACCTAAAAGGCACTCACTAAAAGCTGAACGAACCCTGAAGCTCCAGGTACAAGTGCCTGTGACTCACAGCCATCAGCTTTGTGACGTTAAGAAACGTCACATCATCTCAGAGCCTCGAATCAAAAACCCTACGAGGGGACAATGCGCTCCACGCCCCACTTCGCTAGCGTTTAGGAAGATGGAACACGACGGTGGGCGAGGCAGCGCGCTCTTTAGGTTCCCGACTCACCCGTGCCCGGGGGCGTGACGTAAGTGCGCCGCGGGTTTGCCAGCACCGCGCCGTCCCGCACCACTCCCACGCCGATCTTGTTGGCGCTGCCTTCAAAACCCAGCACGGTGGGCATGGCCGAAGCGGGGAGAACACAGCGCAGGACCCTAGCTAACACTGAGGCCGCGGCAGCCTCGCCGCTCTGTGCGCAAACGTAGGAGCCCGCAGCAGCTCAGCGCCCCGGCACCTAACAACTCCGCTCGCCGCGCCGTCCCGCCCCCGTCGTCACGGCGACTCGTCAAGGCCCCTTCAGGAACCTGTCCAGCTAACTGCCAGGGACGCTGAGCCCGCATCCGCTCCTGGCACGCCTACCCGCTGCTTTGCCGCTCTCCGGGGGTCCAGCCCAGCCTTCTCCACTGATTGATTTTCTCTCTTGCGCAGCGCTGGGCCCTCCGGTCGGGGCGGCAGGAGGAGTCGTGCAGCGGGCACACGGATAAACAGCCCGAGAATGGAGGGCTGGGGCCTTAGTCCCCTGGAGACTCCGGAGAAGGGCGGGCCTAGGTTCTCCGTCACGTGGTGCCAGACAGACTAATCGCGGGCATTGCTGCGCTACGCGGGGACGCCCCAGGCCACGTGACCACGCCAGTTACCCACGTGGGGGCACGGCGTGCTCCATTCTTTGTGCTCGGGTAGGAAGGCTCCCGGCGGCAACTTGAGCAGGTCAGATACCGGCTGCTGTTCTTTCGCCCATCAGAAGGGCTTTTCTGGACGTCTGACCGGCTGGCGTAAGCCGGGGCCCTTGATTAAGGCCCTCGATTGGCCGAGGGGAGATCTCGTAGGAGGGTCCATAGATCACTGTGGAAGGATCTCGTGTTGTGGGTGAGGGGCTAAGGAGCCTATGGCGCGTGGAGGCGGGGAAGGGATTCAGAGATAACGCGCCGCTCTCGGGAGGAGCCTTTCCCCAGCTTTAGCTGCCTTCACCATTTATTTGCATCGTTAGGCAAGGCGGTGAAAATACTGCTCGGCCGCGCGACCTGGTGCAGGAGGGCGTGCGTTTCAGTGATGCCGAAGCGTGGGAAAAAGGGAGCGGTGGCTGAAGACGGGGAAGAGCCCAAGATTGGTAAGAGAGTGAAATGACCCCCTCTCCCTGGAGGCTGTGATGGTGGTGCTTCTAATGTATCCGATAAACGTAAAGTACGGACCGACGCACCACATTTTTGCAGTTTGAAGAACGCGCGGCAACTGCAGGCTCTCCGTGGGCCTATAGTTAACCGCCGATGAAAGTTGGTTACCGCCAACTTTTATCACTACGTATTACTTATTTTGTAGAACCAGAGGCCAAGAAGCATAAGGCGGGAGCAGGAGCAAAGAAAAATGAAAAAGAGGCAGCAGGAGAGGGGTCAGTCCTATATGAGGACCCCCCAGATCAGAAGACCTCGCCCAGTGGCAAATCAGCCACCCTCAAGATCTGCTCCTGGAATGTGGATGGGCTCCGAGCCTGGATTAAGAAGAAAGGATTAGATGTGAGTGGAAATCAAGGAGGGGAAAGAGACAGTCTTTAGTATTGAATGATCTTGGGGTGTAAGTACCTTTTCCCATTTTATTACCCACCATGCAGGTTTATTTTTTTTATAGTTTTTGTGTGTGTGTGTGTGGGAGAGGTATAAGGAGGGGCTGCACCAAGTCATACCAACCATTTCCTGCCTATCCATTCCATTGCCTTAAACGTTTAATGTCTTCATCTCTTCCCCACCATATTGAAAAATATCTTACTGGACTTGCTCCATTTTTATCTCCAGCGTATTTTGTTTTTAAATAGTGCTTACACAATGCAATTCACAGATGCTATATTATATAATTGTACTATTGAGACATCTTATTGGCCAATATTACCTTAATAAATTTTAAAAACTAAATAAATAACTAATGCTTAAAAAAATCTTAGCTATCCACTCTCTATAGAAAAAAACACTATCTCCACAGGGTTGCATGTAAGCCTTCTTCCATTAGTTACCAGTTATCTAATTGATTATTGTACTACCAGTGGTCGGCAAACTCATTAGTCAACAGGGCCAAATATCAACAGTACTTCTTCAAAATAGACTCGTCCAGGCCAAAAACCGACTACTGTGAATGGGCCATGAAGTTTCAATCGCACTGTACGTCTGCACCTGCACGTGGTATTTTGTGCAAGAGCCACACTCAAGGGGCCAAAGAGCTACATGTGGCTCGAGAGCCGCAGTTTGCCGACCACGGTGCTAGACTGTTGATCTCCTTGATGCACAGGGACCCTACCTCCTGTTTATCTCTAGTACTTAGCAGATTCAATAAATACCCACTGTATTGATACCATCTTTTATACCTTTCATTTTACCCAGTGGGTAAAGGAAGAAGCCCCAGATATCCTGTGCTTGCAAGAGACCAAATGTTCAGAGAATAAACTACCAGCTGAACTTCAAGAGCTGCCTGGATTATCCCATCAGTACTGGTCTGCTCCTTCAGACAAGGAAGGGTACAGTGGTGTGGGCCTACTCTCTCGCCAGTGCCCACTCAAGGTCTCATATGGCATTGGTGAGAGCCTACTGATTCCTAATGCCTGCGCACTTTCAAACTAATTGCTAATACCCCACTCCAGCCCCGATTCTTGATTCCTTTATTTGCTACTTTCCCTTTGCTTATTTATACTTTCATTAAAAAAAAAAAAGTTTCCCCTTACGCTTTTCTGTACTGATACTGTTTCATTTCTCCAGGCGAGGAGGAACATGATCAGGAAGGCCGAGTGATTGTGGCTGAATATGACGCATTTGTGCTGGTAACAGCCTATGTACCTAACGCAGGCCGAGGTCTGGTGCGCCTGGAGTACCGACAGCGCTGGGATGAAGCCTTTCGCAAGTTCCTGAAGGACTTGGCTTCCCGCAAGCCCCTTGTGCTGTGTGGGGACCTCAATGTGGCTCATGAAGAGATTGACCTTCGCAATCCCAAGGGAAACAAAAAGAATGCTGGCTTCACCCCACAAGAGCGGCAAGGCTTTGGGGAATTGCTGCAGGCTGTGCCACTGGCTGATAGTTTCCGGCACCTCTACCCCAACACCGCTTATGCCTATACCTTTTGGACCTATATGATGAATGCTCGATCTAAAAACGTTGGTTGGCGCCTTGATTACTTTCTGGTGTCTCATTCTCTGTTACCTGCTTTGTGTGACAGCAAGATCCGTTCCAAGGCTTTGGGCAGTGACCACTGTCCCATCACCCTATACCTAGCACTGTGATACTTCCCCAAATCATTTTAAGCCTGGGAAATAAGCCCCTAAATTAGCTTTAAAACTTCTTTGCTTTCAAGAGAATTCTGCACCGTGTTACCCTTCAGCCAGGCTCCTAGTGACAGATGGGCTTCCTTTAAGCCCAAGGCTTTGTTTTTTGGTGTGGAGGGCTTTTTCTTCCTTTTTTTTTTACATTAAACAAGCTACTGATGACTTCCTTTGAACTGTCCATGTGAAAATAAAGAGCCATAGTTTCAGCCTTGCTGTCTTTGTATTCTACCTCTCTGTGGAGCTACAAATTCCCCTCCTCATTTTTGTCTTACATACAGATTAACAATTAGAAAAGGGCAGAGTCATGACCTTATTTATTTACAAGCACAGGATGAGTCCTTAACCTCCCCCAACACAGCAACCCTACCTAGCCCAGTGATATACTACTGCTGGGGATAAGGTTGGCAGGAGGGATTAAGGGTAACACAGGACTAGGGGAACATACCCCATATTAAATAGTTATATACCCATCAGTTCCTGAGGAAAGCAGATGGCCTGCAGTAGTCTTATCTACTCCTCCAAACTTAGGTGAGGGCCTGGTTCCTTCCTACTCCCCAGGGAAAAGGAAGGCAGCTGCTTGGCTCCTCTTAGAGAAGCCCAAGGGAGCCTTTTGTCTTGGCTCCCTTTGTAGTGTCACTGTCCCCACCAGGGAGGGGCCAGGCACAGTCTGTGGGTCATCCTGTGGCTCAGGAGAAGTTCTGGACAGGGTGGCTGACCTTCATACAGGCCCAATAGAGGGCCCGCCCTAAACACAGAACAGCCAACAGGATGGCAAATGCCCAGGCTGCATAGATGCCTCCATATCGCCGTGCTTGCTTCCATGTCCCAAACTGACAAAGAAAAAGAAAGAATGATGGGGTTACTGTGATCTCTCACCACCTTCTAGCAGCCCTAATAACAGTAACACAAGCTTCAATCCCTGTTCCCTATCCATGTGCAGCCACCTTCAGGGACCTGCTTAAGGGCCCAGTTCAGTTTCCTTCCCCTAGACAGGAATATACTCAAACAATCCCAAACATCTGTCAGTTTTTCTTAATGTCTTACAATTGCACCAGGTTTCCTAAATAGCAACGTCTAACTTAAGCCACTTCTCCACTGTCCTATTCTCTGCATAAAGAAGATGGCTGGCCCGGCCAGTGTGGCTCAATGGTTGAGCGCTGTCCTATGAACGAGAGGTCATGGTTCAATTCCTGGTCAGGGTACATGCCCGGGAGATTGTGGGCTCAATCCCTAGTGTGGGATGTGCAGGAGACAGCTGATTGATGATTTTCTCTTATTACTGATGTTTCTCTCCCTCTCTCTGAAATCAATAAAAATATATTTAAAAAAAAGAAGATGGCTGTTCTTTACTCCCATAGTAACGAGGACTATTATTCAGTCACCTCAACTTCAGCTCATCTATACATTAAAACACAAACACAACACCCTTGATTTCTTTCCCTTTTTTTTTAGGTTAGCCATTCCCAAATCTTAGCCTACAGCAGTGATGGCGAACCTATGACACGTGTGTCAGAGGTGACACGCGAACTCATTTTTTTTGGTTGATTTTTTTTGTTAAATGGCATTTAAATATATAAAATAAATATCAAAAATAGAAATCTTTGTTTTACTATGGTTGCAAAGATCAAAAAATTTCTGTATGTGACACGGCACCAGAGTTAAGTTAGGGTTTTCCAAAATGCTGACACGCCGAGCTCAAAAGGTTCGCCATCACTGGCCTACAGAGATGAGGCTGAAGAATAAAGGGTTAGATCAGTTACTCACAGCAAGGCCAGTGGCAGTGACTGCCAAGAGTAAACCAAGCAAGAAGCAGCAGACACATCTCTTTCGTGGATATCTGCGTCCAATTGATGATCTGTGGGGAGGCAAACAGAAACGGATGTTTGAAATGTTCCTGTAATTTTTACTCTACCCCTTACCCGATTACCAGCTCAAGGATGCCACTCATAATCACTTACACTTTCCTGCAGTGAGGACAACGGGCCAAGGTTCGGTCTGTGAACTCTGTCCACTATGGAGAAAAAAGGGAGAAACCAATTAATAGTATAAGGTCATCTATTTTGAGAGACCTAGGGCAGGGGAGGGTGGGAAATGGGTTCTCACGGAACAGGATTCATTATCCTAAGTCAGAAACACATTCATGATTCCTCCTGGAAGGTTTTCCCCCAGGACTTCCCAGGATCCCTCCTCACCAGAAAAGTATTCTTGCAATGTCCACAGATGACCCTGACACCCACGGGCTGAGGTTCCGGACTTAGAGGTCCTGGGTGCACAGGCCCCAGATTAATGATTCTTTTGCTGTACAAGAAAAAGAAGTGTTTGAAAAGTTTTTAATCCTAAGGACCCCTCCTTCATACCCCCCACTCCCTGCCTCACTATGATCCTCTACTTCTCTGTACACCTAACATACTCTGCTCCTCAATGCTATCCCAGAGAGTCCTTGAGGAAGAGCACTGCTTTCACTACAGGCCTCTAATTTCCCTTTTATCTCAGGATGACTGACCCAGTCCCCCAAACTCTCCATCTTCCTAAAGTACACCATTTCATCCCCATCTTTTTATTGCAGGATGAGAAAGATGGCTACAACATTTTAGAGTCACAACAGTCCTTAGCCTTTTCTCCTTCTAAATCAGTGGTTCTTAACCTTCTGGCCCTTTAAATACAGTTCCGCATGTTGTGACCCAACCATAAAATTATTTTCATTGCTACTTCCTAACTGTAATGTTGCTACTGTTATGAATCGTAATGTAAATATCTGATATGCAGGATGGTCTTAGGCGACCCCTGTGAAAGGGACGTTCAACCGCCAAAGGGGTCGCGACCCACAGGTTGAGAACCGCTGTTCTAAATAAACACCAGCCTCTCTCATCTTGACATTCCCTACAACCAACCACTCATCCCTTCTGGGCTTTCCAGGTTTCCCCACTGATGCCCTTCCCCACCTGATGCCTCTTACCAGTAGGGTCGAGGACAGGCAATTCGCTGGGAAGTCACTTTGCAGATAAGGAGACAGTTACAGGGGCACCGAACATATTTCTTCCCTGGGGGTGCATTCTTGATTGGCTAGAGAATAATAGGAATATCAGTAAGCAAACCTCTAACCCCAATTCCTTTCATTTCCTCCAAAAACACCTTCTGGGGAGAGATCAGACAGATAAAAGTCTTAGCCAGGACCAAGAAATGAAAGAAAGACATACAGCACGAGACTGGCAAATGAGTATCTGGGATAGGCATGAAGGTGAAGGATGGTAAGCATTCGCTTTGGTGAGTGGCTTCTGGGGAAAGGGCTGTATGAGAGTCCTGGAACTGAAAGCTGGGTTTTATGAAGAGCGCTGGCTGAAGGTCAGGGTCTCTAGACTCTAGAATCAAGGGATCAGAAAAAGGATCCAGGAAACAGGGTATATTTATATTGTATTATATATATATATATATATATGTATAACTCACGGTGGCTTCGTTGCAGACGCCACATTTGACTACATGCTGATGCATCTTGCCTTCCACGTTGATGAGAGACTGGCAGACTCGGCAGGTGATCATGGGGGCATTCCCACTGTCTGGGCTGGTCAGAGGTGAGTAGGGGGGTGGGTCATCCCCAGGCAACACGGCTGGGTGTCCCTCGGGGAACGGGGGAAATGCTGGGGAGGAAGGTAAAGACAAGGGCTGCCATCACTCGCAGACACCACCATTGATGCTCCACGGGGTCAGGGATCGCTTTCTGGTCCTCAATCCTTCTGACCACACTCGGCGGGCTCCTTACACACCGCCCTGCAATCAGCTTCCTCAGAAATCCCTTCCATTTTCCAAACCGGTGGCGATCGGGCAGGAAGAAAACCTCGCCCTGTCACAAGTGCAACAGCTCCGCACCTGACGCTGGGGCCCCGCCCTCCACCTGCGGCCCCGCCCCCTCCCGCCTGGCAGCGTACCCCCGGGAGCACGGCGGACCCACCCGGCTTACCCTGGGGTGGGACATGTTTACCGGCTCCGTAGGGTGGTGCTGAGGGGGTCAGGCCTCCCCCGGGCCAAGGAAATCCAACTAGCCTCAGGGGAAAAACCCTGTTAGTTCCAGATTATAAATAAATAGATCTTTTTGCAATGTTACTGCCACTTTTAGTTTTGAAGCAACTTATTTATTTCTGAGCCATCAACTGCTGTGGATTTGATTCAGTATCACCACTAAGCCAGTGATCTTTGTTTTTCTGTTTGGTGCTTTGATTTCCCTCTGGGATTTCAGTAAACAGTGTCTTTCTTACCATTTTGCCCGCCCTGGTCTGTCCCGCAGCACGTGATAGGCTCTCCCCGCCCCCGCCGGGTGATCATTCGTGGAAAGGAACCAATTCCTGGTCCTGTGGAGGCAGCTCTTCTCTACTATTGGGGAGCGTTGCAGAAACGTCAAAGGTCATATGACCTTCCGAAAGGCCGCTGGGCCTGCAAAAGCTGCACGTGATGAGAGGAGGAGCAAGCCATTGGCCGCGCGGCCCATCGCGCTACCTCCAGGCCGGCAGGTGGGGCGGGGCAGTCCGACTCACTGGTCACGTGTCAGGAAGCCGCGAGTCCTCTGTTACGCGCCCAGAGCGGGGCATGATCATTGCTCCTCATTGGTCCAAAGACACCATTAAAAAGTTTTCTCCCTCTTTGCGGTTATGATTGGCATCCCATTGGCTGGAGGCTTCCATTCCCTCGTCCTGTGATCCTTGGGCGCAAGTTTATTGGCCCGAATTTCGCTCCAGAACCCGGAGGCGTGGCTCGAGGAACTGGCAGTGGAAAAGTGCGGAGCTTGGGATGTCTGCGCAGCTAGAGGAGGGTCTGTAGACAATGAGCTCAAAGAAAACGTGTAAAAAGCCAGTGAAAGATATACCACGAGGAAGTGATTTAAAACGTTAGAAGTATAACCCCAGTCTTTCTTGGAGTCACTTCTGGAACCGGACGCAAGACTGGCTTCGCCTGGAAGCTGGTCTGCAGATTTCACCTTTCCCCTATCCCTAATTAAATTGTGAGAGTATCTTTTTTATGAGTCTGCATCTACCACTTAAAGGAGATCTCAAAGTTTTACTCAATTTTCTGATCCCTCAAGCCTAAACACGTCAGCATGGAAAGTTGTTTTTTTATTTTTTTTATTGAGTTAACCAATCAAGCCCAAGGATATTTTCGTTTGGCAGAAGAGACAGTTTTGAGACTTTCTAATGTGTCAACTTTGCCCCCAGGCACCAGACTGCAATGGAGGTTGCTATGACAAGTATTGGAAACGATCTTAAGTAACTCAGGCGTTTAAACATAGAGCCAATCCACCTACCTACTCTCCTGTTCTTCATATTCACCTGTGTATACTTAACTTGCACAGCAGATAAAACTTACAGGTGCTCTACTAAATGGGTACCCAGGCAAAGGTGAAATGTGTGGGTTTCCTCTTCCCTGCTTAGGGAAAGGGAACTTTTTTCCTTTGTTTCAACTTTATTGGATGTTTCAGGGTGGAGCAGGGGCAGTCAGTCAAGGTGAATAGCTTTGTTATGCAAGGAATAATTTAGGATTTCCTTGATTATGTAAGGGTAAAGTGGGTAGGCTGTTATTCTGGAATTCAAAAGTGAGTCACTTTAGTGAATCGTTGTTTTATGATGTTAAGTAACATCCTTTAGTTAAGTCAGTACAGGATACGAAGGGCCCATTGTCATAGGAGAAGGTAGAACCAGGAAATCAAATGGAGATGGTTCCAGCTCCTGCTCTTGGAAAATATCTGATTGCTACGAATAGGAATACTTTAGCTCAGGTCTATTAAATGCAGGGGTTCCTTGACTGAGAATAATGCTGGAATGGCCACTTTCCCCCTGAAGAGCCCCTCAGATGAGGGTTCTATCTTACCCCTTTCCAGAAATCAAAACAGAACCCTGAGAGTCTATCAGTAACCTCTAAACTCAACCTTTGATGATAGTGCCCTGCCAGGCCCCTTCCCTAACCTCCTGTGGCCTTCGTCGAAGCTTGAACCACACCTGGGTTCCCCACCTTACACCCCCAGCCCCAGGTCATAGCCCAAGTCGTGACTGCCTTATACAGGAGAGGCAACACGGAATTGAAAAAAAACAACTTTGAGGATGAAGACCAGTTTAGCTAGAAGCCTCTTCACTGAGCCTAATATTGAGGAAAATGCAGCCCTTTCCAGATGTTTAATAATAAAGGTATTGTTGTCCCAGCCATTATAGCTGCTATAGGTGCTGAAGACTTCACCTGGGTTTTGAGGTTTAGAGGCAGCGTTTTCAAGTCAGCTTCTACTTAGAAGTAAATATCCACCCAGCAGTTTTGTCCCACAGACACTTAAAGAACCATAGGACCTCTGGATACAAAAATAGGCAAGGGGTTATAGTTATAACTACATTATTCCCATTATTCTCTAGCCAATCAAGGGGACAGGCCAATCTGCCGCTTTTTCTGATGTTTATAGCACATAGTTGCTCAAGTGTTCACTCTGGGGTGGAGTAGGTTTATTATTTGCATCTTGGTCACACATATTACAAAACCTATCCTTTTGTGACTCTTCCACCCTCACCAAAGCCTTACTTAAAGTTCATTTAAATCTAGTATTATGTGTATCAAAATGTGGGAGAGATGGAGGATTAGATACAGTACTACAGTACCAAGGATCCTCTAGGAATGAGTGAGTAGAATGCCGCTTTTTTTTTTTTTTGTAGTAGTAGTAGTAGTAGTAGTAATAGTAGTGGTAGTTTGGGCTCCTGCGGGTGAAATATAGGGATGTGGCTAGAGAAGTAAATGGAGAAGTAAATATTAACAAATAGAAAGAATGTTCTCTCTGACAGGTATGTGAGGCACTGGAGGAAAAGTATAATGGAATAATCCCTGAATATGTCCTGTTATAGATCGCTTTTAATGCCAGACTAACCTTTTCATATAGGTGTGGGACAGGGTTAAGGGAAGGACAATGGCTGTCCAAGTGCTCTCATGATGAAACTGCTTTATAATAAAGAACATATTTATTTATGTAATACTAGAGGCCCGGTGCACGAAATTCATGCACTGGGTGTGTGTGGGGGGGAGTGTCCCTCAGCCCAGCCTGCCCCCTCTCACATACTGGGAGGCCTCAGGCATTGACCCCCATCACCTTCCAATCACAGGATTGGCCCCTTGCCCAGGCCTGACGCCTCTGACAGAGGTGTCAGGCCTGGGCAGGGGACCCTCATTTCCCCCCATCACTGGTTCTGCCCCCAGCCCAGGCCTGATGCTTCTGGCCCAGGCGTCAGGCCTGGGCAGGGGACCCCCAGACCCCTCCGATTGCTGGCTCTGCCTCTTGCCCAGGCCTGATGCCTCGGCCAGAGGCGTAGACCCCCATCACCCTCTGATCACCGGATCAGCCCCTTGCCCAGGCCTGACGCCTCCGCCAGAGGTGTCAGGCTTGGACAGTGGACCCCCATCTCCCCCCGATCACTGGGTCTGACCCCCGCCCAGGCCTGAGGCCTCTGGCCCAGGAATCATGCCTGGGCAGGGGACCCCCATCTCCCTCTGATCGCTTGCTCCACCCCCCGCCCAAGCCTGACGCCTCTGACCCAGGCATCAGGCCTGGGCAAGGGGACCATCATATCCCCCCATTCCCCTGCTCCGCCCCCCCAGCTCCCCGCAGTTGCAGGCTCCGCCCCTGTCCAGGCCTAACGCCTCTGGCTAGGCATCTGGCCCGGGCAGCGGGGACCTGTAGCTGCAGCGGCCCCGCGATCGTGAGCTCTGCTTTAGGCCCAGGCAAGGGACCCCTAGCTCCTGGGACTGCCAGCTTCGACCGTGCCCAGCTCCCATCACTGGCTCCACCCCTACTTCCTGCTATCACTGGCCAGGGCGGAAAAGGCACCTGATTCTCCGATCATGGCTCTTAGCCCCCCCCTGGGTTTCCGATTACTGTCAGTGGCAGGGGGGTTCTTCCTGCTTTCCCTTTTGCCTTCCTGCATTGTGCCTACATATGCAAATTACCCGCCATTTTGTTGGCAGTTAACTGTCAATCTTAGTTGGCAGTTAATTTGCATATAGCCCTGATTAGCCAATGAAAATGGTAGCGCCATATGCCAATTACCATTTTTCTCTTTTATTAGTGTAGATGATAAATTCCTCTGAAACTTGAGTTCCAAGTCTCCATTGGAAGGAGCCATTTCTTATTCTGCAAATGTACTCAACATCCACTCCCTACAGTTCTGGGCACAGTGCTTTAGAAGATATCTAAAATCAGTAAATTCTGTCTCACCCCAGTGACATAACAATCTGGTAGTGGTTAGAAGACACATGCCTAGAAGGCAAGGTAAGTTGTGAAAAGAGTCATAAAAGAGGTAGAAAACAAACCCTGTCAGTATGGAAGAGAGAAATGCCTCTTCTGGTCTTCAATTATCTAATCCTGTATAATGAACAACACCCAAACAAAGTGCTGTGTTTTTTCCCTCATGATTCTGCAAGTTGGCTGCATGGTTCTATTATTGGTCTCCCTGGGCTCATTCATGATCATGCAGTCAGAGTAACTGTAAAAACTGAATGGTCGAAGATGGCCTCATTCATATCTCTGGTAGTTATATGTGCTGGCTTGGTTGGGCTTCTTTATAACATGGTGGTACTTTGAAGGACGGTCCAAGAGGGTGAAAGGAGAAGAGAAAAGGCATCTTAAGTCCTTCATTCCTACCACATTCTAGTGGTCATATCAAGTCACAAGGCCTGCACAGATTCAAGGTGTAAGGAAATGAACTTCAAGTCCTGGTGAGAGGAGCCACAAAATATTTTGGTTGTTTTTCAACCTACTATAAATGGTAAAATTTCAGCAATCAATACATCTGCAAAATATTTGTTAAATATTTTCTCTTTGTGAAAGGCACTCCTTAAGAAACTGACACTCTGGGTATGGTGACATAATAATGTAAAAATTAACAGTATAAAATATAAGCACTCATAATCATTTATTACATGGAAAAATCAATACTAGAAATTCATGATACAACATGTGCTTCATAACAAATGAATTAAACAGTATAATATGAATTCAGGGAAAGAAATCATTTCTAGTCAGAATAGCCAGAGAAAACTTTAAAAATATAATGAAGGACCCTAGCCAGTTTGGCTCAGTGGATAAAGTGTCGGTCTGCGGACTTAAAGGTCCGGGTTTGATTCCTAGTCAAGGGCACATGACTGGGTTGTGGGCTCGATCCCCAGTAGGGGGCGCGCAGGAGGCAGCCAATCAATGATCCTCTGTCATCATTGATGTTTCCATCTCTCCCGTTCCCTTCCTCTCTGAAATCAGTAAAAAAAAAAAAAAAAAAAAAATAAATTTAAAAAAAATTTGAA